CAGTGGGCACAAACTCTGGAGCAGAGAATGGAAAGGCTCAGCATTACAGAATAACCCAATCTGTACAACCACTGCAGAGCTGTGGTGTGCCGTGCCACATGCTGGTACGTGTAGGAAGCTCCTATAAATAGTCAAACCGTGGCTTGTTGGGATGTTGCAACACAGGTGGGGGTTTTGTAAGGATTAAGCAATCCTTGCACAAGCCATGGCCTGCTCTGGGGTTATGTGAGGGTTATTTAACCTTTACACAACCTTCACAGCCCAGGTTTGACAATGTTCTGTGCCGCAGCTGGAACATGCAATTTTTATTTTTAAATGCTACAGACTACCATGGCTTAAATAAACTACAGAGAGCTCTGGTCATTGTACAAACTGAATCATTATATGCCAGCATGTATAGCCTAATTCCAGCAGCTGTTTCTGTTTGGGCAAAGTAACCCGGGGATGGCACAACTTCAAGCAGTGAGGTTGGCGCATTTGTGGGCAAGGCTTTTATTGCGTAATCATCCTGCTTTGATGGCACAGTTTTACAGGGCTGAGAGAAAATCTTCCATTTGTTTTTCCACGGTTGCTTCCATTTTTAAAGCATAAAAAGACCATTAATGAGGAAGAGACAGATCAGCTGTGCAACGCCTTTTGATGGCAACAATATTTATTTATTGGAGCATCAGGAGCTGGGATATTGAGAGCCAGTGTGGTGTCGTAGTTAAGAGTGCCAGTCTGGGACTCAAGCAATCTGGGTTGTAGTCCCTGCTCAGCCATGGAACCAACTGGGTGACTCTGGGCCAGTCAGACTCTTAGTTCACACCTTCCTCACAGACTGAGAGCAGCAGGAAGAGAATGATTTAAGCCAATTTGAGTTCTTATGGGGGGGAAAGGCAGGATATAAAATAATATTGTTCAGCTTTAAAGGTACTGGCCCATCTGTACAGAACATACCGACACACACACACACACACACACACACATTTATAGCTTGGTGTGTAAATGTAGTAATACATACTAAAATTACCTAGAGGTAATTCAAAGTATTATTTGGAGAGGCCAAGCCAACTAATCAATTTCTCATCCAAATCACCTCAAATAATAATAATAATAAAAAATTCAGTTATCTAACATCTCATCTCATTCTTCCAAATCACTAGTTCTTCTTCAGTTATGATTCTGCAGTCTGTCACTTTCTCACTGTCTCCTTTCTCCTGGAGAAAAATTGCCTTCACCTTGTTCAATTAGGTATAGCAGAAAAGCTTCTATTAACCCTAAGACTTTTCCTGATGCTTAGACACTGTCTCTCTCTCTCTCTCTGTGTACACATGAGGATGTTACAGAACATGGAAGGGTTCACACTGCCCCTCCCTAGCCGCAGTCCCCTTGACATTGCCTCCTTGATGGCAAATAAGTGAAGAAAAACACTTTCCTGCAGCCCCCTGGACCCGATCCTTGCAAGGGCATGGTAGCTGTCATCATCTGGAAGAGTTTGGAACTGCTCCTGCAAAGCCACTGCCCAGTGTTTAGTGCCACAGGTGGAGCACCTGGCAGAAGGTGCCAGGAGGATGAGGGTTGAGCATTCACTGCAACTTTTCCACTCCAGTTCTGGTGCATCCAGCAGAGTTCGGTGCAGTTTCTCCCATGTCCAGCTGAACCCAGCAGGACTCATTTCTGTGTAAACATGCCAAGGGTTGATTTCATGCAGGTCAAAGCACGAGCCAGCTCTGAGCAAACCTTATATGGAAATAAACAGGAGCTTGCAAGTGCATTGTGTTTTGTTTGGGGTGGGCGTAGGCTTGGAGCAAGCTCTTGATGAGATGTCCTATATATTAACAAGTGGGAGGGACTGCTGTTTGTACTTTCCCACTCAGGAAGCAAATATTTTGGGCCAGCCCTTTTCCTGTGGCAAAAACGATTGGCCAGTATGCTCTGTAGATTCATATTATGTAACAGTTGTGGAAAGTATTAGGAATTAGCATAAAATGGTTTAGGAGTACATGGAGTGGTGGTGGGGGCAGAGAGCTGTAGTGTTCTCCATCCCACGTCCTTCATCAGGTCATCAGGTGTATCCCCCAGGGCGAAAACATCCCTCCTCAAGTTGGCCTTTCATTGATGATGTGGTGGCAAATACTGAAGCTCATCTTGAACGACCCCATAGCTAAATCCCCAAGGAGAATCGAAAAGCTCTGGCTTCTGTATTGATCGAGATCCACAAACCAGCTCTAGCAGTTTCTTTCTCCACCAGGAGCAGTTTTTGTAAAGCTTCATTGCCCATTCAAGGCCAAGCCACCCCCAAAATAGTTGCATCACCACAGGAAGAATTCCTTCCCCTACCCAAATGGCCGGAAGGATGGCAACAGGGAGATCTTTGGCCAAATGGTGACGACAGGTGAGGTTGGTGACCTTGCCGATGAACAGGTGCTGGCACTGTGTCCCTGTGAGCCCTGGTTCTGTTACACCACCACCCTCTGTCACCCCAGAGGCAAAGGAGCAGTGAATATTGCCCAGGATTTGCTGGATCTGTGCAGGGTGACTGCTGGCTAGTTAGTTGCCTTCTATTTCTTCCTCAGACAAGCTAGTTCCTGGCTAGGGCTGTGCAGCTCAGATGGGACCACCAGCAGCCCTATGGCTGCGTTTGGTCCTTTGCCTAATTTCAAGTCTCCAGGAGGAACTCGGTTCAGTCCCTGGCAAGTCCTCTTCCCTTGTTCGATGCTTGCTTTGTGGGGCGGAAGGGAATGGCGACCGGAGGAGATACAGATTCCCCCATGCTGGGGGCCTTCCCTTCCCCTGTCACTGGCACGCACCCCTAACAGACTGCCCTCAAGGGAATGTAACCCACAGCGGGAAAATAGTTCTTTGTTTCCCAGGGTGCTTCTAGACCGAGGGAAGGGCTCCTAGCACTAGAAATAACAAAGCATTAAAATGATTATCATATATTTATGTCCTGCTTTCCCCCCACCCCTCTTGCAAGGAACCAAAGGCAGTTTACAAGGTTCTTTTCTTGACCATTTTTATCCTCACAACAACAGCCCTGCAAGGTAGATCAGGCAGGGACTCTCTAACTGACCGAAGTCACTCAGTGAGGATGATGGCTGAATGGGAACTAGAACCCAGATCTCCTGTGTAATATAATTACTATTATACTACAGATGGGCCTCTAGACTCAATGTGTCTAAAGATGTGTAGGATTGCACCTCCAAGAACTGTAAAGGATTATCTTCTCTACGTTTAAGGCTGCTATTCCATATGCATTTCGTCCGAGGGAAAGCCCTCTGAATTTTCAGAGATTTACTTTTGAGCAAACAGTCATGTGCTTTGGCTGCACGTCTGAAGATCCACCTCAATTTGTAGAATTTAGGAGAAAAGGACAAATGTGTATTTTCAGAAAACCCCAGATACTGAAATGCACAAAAGACTGGGGAGCAATACAGAATGTTTTTTACACATCGACTCATATAACACTGGTCTACAAATTTTGGGAAATTATCAACCTCCGAGATAAAATGTACTAATTCTTACATATTTTGATTAGATGAATTAGAAAACAGGTGATAAAGGTGCTGGTTGGCTAAAGTTTTCAAGATATTTCACAATAAAGATTTATACACAGATAAGTATATTTGCCTACAAGGGAGGGAGATGTCTGATGATCATGATGTTTTGTAACTTCTCTGCAAAGTACGGTAGAACAATGAAAATGGTACCACATGGAAGTGTATAAATTAATCATCACTTGGAGACTAAAGATTATTACTTAACTGTAATTTATTGTTCTTTTATTGCAAGGTACATTTGTCTTAGTCAGATCTATGCATCATACAGTTACATCTGGTGGCTTGTGAAAGTGTCATTGCCTAACATTTCCAAGGAATAGTTGTGTGATATTTTCCCTCAGAAGCCAAGATTCCTCAAAACTGTGTAAACAATGCAGATAAATTCTGCTACATTTGTGGCGAGGTGACATTTGCATCTCAAAAGTGCAGTATGATGGCAGTGGTAAAAAATGCACACCACCTGTGTTGTGGATGCAAAATCAGGGGATCAGGACAAGAGTTGAGCCCCTCATTATTGTCTGATTTCACAGAGTGAACTAAATGACCTGGTCAGGGATTTGGAATTGCATAAGAGTAAGGCAGAGCTACTGAGTGTCAGAATTGCACATCCCCCTTGTAGTTTTGAATTATTCTGATGCAATTTTGACCCGAAGCTGTACCTTGGAAACTGGGGCCAATTAATACTCAGGACTTAATTTTCCTTTCTTAGTGACCCAGTTCTGGTAAAATTTAGCTACTTTCATTTCCGAGGCTTTCTCCTTGTAGACCAGTATATAATCACATACTCCTCCTTGATCCCCAGTGCTCTGGAAAACAAATCAGGGTGAATCACTTCAACTTCTGCAGCAAAGCAAGCGAGCATTGGGGGGGGGGGGGTCTGCCCACTCGGGCTGAAACCCAGGAACTTTCATTCGGAGCCTGGATTTTCTGGGAGTCCTTCTGCCCCACCACCCCGCCGTCCCTGGGAGCTTGTCGAAATAAAGGTACAGACCCTGGATCAGGGGGCTCTTTGCCCATACGTGCTTCACCTCCTGAGCTCCCCACTGAATCTTTCTGCCCGAGGTTGTCTTTTTCTGAAATCAAAGGCCCTCCTGCACCCCCCCCCGCACACCCCTTTTACAAATAGGAGCGCCCTTAGCAGACACACAAAGAGAGGGCCGTGAAAGCATATGCACGTTAGTATAGGCAAATAATGTGCATTTGTTTTTTCCTTTTTGGTTCTGAACTCCAGATTTTTTTCGGTGCTGTTTGAGAGATAACATAATCTGAGCAAAAACCGGGATCTTTGCCAAACCATCCGTAGCATAAAGTACCGTTCACATGGTATTTATTGTTACGGGCTGACAAGCCAACTTTATGAATGAAAGCCTTCTGATCACGGCCTAATGCTGTTAAGGGGTTAAATCTGGGGGTGGGAGCTTTTGCGGGCATGATGGGAGTTGTGAGCAAGGAGGTTCATGGGAGCTGTAGTTTTCTGTTTCTTCCGGAATGGCTGCCTCCTTTAAGGTAAGCTAGGCTGGTTTTACTTTCCTGCTACTATTTCCCTTGCAGTGGGAAATAGCTAAGAAATGGTCACATTTTTTACGTAGGGGGGAAAATTTGAATCTATTGCAGGGGAGACTTGCTGACCAGACTTGAGTCTGCCCGTGGCTCTGAATGGACACGTTGTTACCACGGTGGGAACTGCAGTAGTTCGGGCAACTCCTGTTATGTAAATAATAAAAAAAAAAAACCCCGCCTCGATTATTATGGCCAACAGTGCAGTCTTGTGCGTGTCTACTCAGAAGTAAACCCCTTTTGCGTGTAGGGAGGTTTAATCCCAGATAAGAGGATCTACTATTGCAGCCTAAAGAGCTTCAAATTGCTTTGCTTGTATTTAACAGTTGTATTTTAAATTGTTTTTGTTCTGTTTTTGCAAGGAAGGGGAGGAGAGGGATATAATTCTGGCCGAAGTAGTTCACACTTTTTTCATTGCAATGATTGTGCGTTTAAAAAATGGAGCCTGCAACCACGAGGCGGAAAGGGGAGTGTGAACAAGCACTGAAGAGTAACACAAGTACGGTGCAATCATACATGTCTATTCAAATAAACATCTCATTGAGTTTAACGCCAAGGGCACATTCAGCTGTAGCACGAATTGGGTTGGGATGCAATCAAAAGCATGTTTGGACATGTTTCTAGCAGTTCCCAGAAAGCAAGTTGGACTTTTCTACCATTTAAACTTGCATATAGTTGTACCCCAAGACATTTTTTTGCCTGATACCGAGGACAGGATTGTCTTATTTCTCCAGTTCTAGACACAGAAGCAAACCTGACTGACAGCTGAGTCTTATTCAACACTGGTGCTAGGACAGGATTCTTCAGCACACCTGAATGCTGTAGGCTACTTGTGGGCTAAAAATAAAAATTAAAAATGGGGTGTGATTGGAGGCAGAGCTGAGTGTATCTCTTTGGAAACTTCTATGGGTAACCTTGAAACTTCAGAGGCCTTGCCACATCCCAGTTCTTCTCCACCTCCTCAGAATCAGAGGAATCTATCTGAATGGTTTGCAATAAGTGAGCAAAGGGCCTATTTTCCAAAATATACACCTCACTCTCTACTCAGTGTGCATAGGCTTGCAGGGATAGGAAGAGGAGCAGCAAGAGGGAAGGGGGTTCCCATGTTAGTGATGGATGTGTAGAAAATACAATTTTAGTAGGTGCAATTTTTTTATGCCCTCATGGGAAAATGCATCTGTCAAAGAACTTCCTTCTGTACAGCTTTTCTTTGCATCTTACTGTCTTAGCCAAATTTGATGAGAATGAACGTTTCTTATACTGAATCAAGCTCGCCTCTTTTACTGTCTGATGTTAATTTTCCAGGAACTTAGGCAGGGTTTCTTCAGCTTTGCTACCTGCCAGGAGTTGGGCCTAGTTGCTTGTTGCCAGGAACCTATTCTCATTAATGGGTGGTGTACTAAATAAATAACATATAAATTGATTTCAGCCCTACTTTGCCACTCTCAAAATAGAGATGCACAAACGGCTAACCAAATGAGCATTTACTGTGCAGCTAGTCCCCAATTTTTCTCAACATGTTTAAAAACAAACATAAAACATAACAAAAAAAATTAATCATGCTCCTTAAGAGCAGGCTGATAAGAGAGGTTTATCAGGTGAAATTTCATGTGCTGCTAAAGGCCAAGCAGTAAATCTGGGTTGCTTTATTTTTTAATGTTATTTGCAGTTCATCTTCATTTGTAACTAACCAATACTGGGATTTTCAGATAATCTCAATTTTGTCATATATGTGCAGATTACAACTAAGCCAAGCCTAAACTTTGATTTTGGAAACTAGGAATTAACAAAAATCAAACTGAAAAGAGTTGAAGGATTATTGTAAATGGGCTTAGTGCACCATCTGCTGGTACACAAGATATACTCTGTAGAAGAAGCAAAAATTCCTGAGGAGAAAAGGTGAGCTGCATTATACCATTCAAATGGTGCAGCCCAAACTTGAGTCAGAAAAAAGTTTCCATCAATAGCCGTATATTTACTTTATATATATTGATAAATATACAAAGTCCTTTTTAAAAGCCATCACATCCTTTCATAGTAAATTCGAAACTTGAACTATGTGTTCTGTGAAATTGTACTTCCTTCTCCCACCCCAAATCTTCCATCATTCAGCTTCACTGAATGACCCTGGATGCTAGCACTTCTCTACATCATGTATAATTCTACACTCCTATCATGTTTTCCTTTATTCACTTTTGTCTAAGCAAAAATGCCTCAAACACTGCTACTCTGTCTCATGAAAGTTGCCCCAGCCTTTGTTTTCATTTAGGTTGCCCTTGCTTTATCTTTCCCAGCAACAGAGTACCCTTGTTGAGGACTGCTACTGAAAGGTGGTGTCATGGATCTGCAGCAGCCCAGTCTCTCCAAGTGACAGGACATAAAGCAGGACCTTAGATTGCCACAAATTAAGGGAGGTAGGTGGTTCTTACGGAATAGGTGGTTCTTCAGATATCCTTGGCCCAAACCAAGGCTTTGTAGGCCAAAACCAGCACCTTGGCTTATCTTTGTGCATTCCCTCCCTTGGTTAATAACATTGAATCATAATTGATTTTTAATAAAAATATAAGTTTAGAAGTTAATGCATTCATATTTTGTTTTCTTGAAGGAATTTTGTACATGATACCTTTCTTTAAAGGTACCTCTCAGTTCACCTTTCAGAATGGAAATAGAAGGCATCAGTCAGCAGAGCCAGAAGCTCAGTAAAACTGAGAAGAAGTTGCGGCAAAAACAGATGAAGGCCAGATATACTCTACTAAAGCATGAAGGCATCGAGTGTGTATCATACCCTACCAAGGTAAATATTCATGTATATAAGGTGTTACACCATCTTGGGAATAAAATATAAGAATTGATGTCCTCAGTAATCAGGTTCATCATGGCTTGTTCCCCTCCCTGCTTGGTCGTCCAGTGGGTATCTCAGTGTCCTTGAAGCAGAATCCATCAGGTCTCCCTGTCCCCAGTCTGATCACTACCCCTTTCACAGCTCCCTGCCCCCACAGCATCAGAAGTGCACAACTGGGGGTCATACTTAGTTTTGCTTTATTATGCAATTGTGATTGTAATATTTTGATGTGTACTTGTAAGCATGCACTTGATGTTGGGCTTTCACATTTGTCCAATGTGTGTAGTCATGCCTGATCAATTTGCTCATATGTTTCAGCTGTCCAAAGAAACAGACACTGTTAGGTGTTTGTTACCTTTCTGACACTTCCCCAAGTCTCCAGCTGCTTTGGAAAGGGGAGATATTGATGAGCCAGTGCTGGTTGCTCCAAAGTGCCACTGGACATCGACACTTTGGGCATTTGTGGCAAAGTGAAACTAGGAGTAGCAAGGTCAAGATCGTGAAGAATGGCAGCAGGTTTTGCTGCTCTTGTCAAGCAGCTGTCTAACTAATCCCAACAGCCTATGATGAAATTGATCTCCTGGTTTGCCCACAGTGCAATCCATCATGGTTTGAATAGTCTCTAGAACAGTCAGGGTGGCTTGTTGGCTAAAACAGAGCCATGTGTAAGAAGCTGTCTTGGTTTGAAGGATACAACGCATCCAAGCTAGTTACGCAGGAGGGGTTGTCATGGTGTCTAAACCCAATCATTGTAGTTGTTTGCAACTGAATGGGAATGTGCATTGTGCATCATGATTTTTATTGATTTATTCAGAGGCAGGTTTCACTTATTTTAAGGAACTAAACCACAGTCCTGTATTTGACTACTAGGAGTTCAGTGTGGCTTATTTCCAGATCAAGTGAATATAGGGTTGTAGCCCTACCTTCCAGTAAGTGTTCATTGGAACAAGTAACCACTATGACAAAATGTTGATAGTATTGAATGGTCCTGTTCAGGGTTCCAGCCAAACATGTCCCCTTCCAGGATGCTCCATGCCATTTCACCTCCTTGTTATGCATAGGTAGTGCTCTTTTGATTACATAGAGATCTGTACCTGGAGAATAAATTTGCTGTTAGCAGATAAGTTGCAGGATTCTGCCTCACTTTTAAAGACTAAAAGCTGATTCCACTTTGAAACGTATATCTGCAAATCCATCATATTAAGGGACAAGCACCACCTTTACTGTTTTGCTTGTCCTGAATCTTGCCTGCCCATAGTTCATTCATACTGATTAAATTTTAAAGTATTTCTACCCTGCTTTTCAGCCAAATGACAACTGGTGTAAGACTAGGAAAAAAACCCAAGACAGTCTCTGTCCACAGGCTTGCAATCTTGGAAATGTGTTTTGCAAACTGTTTTTGCCAGCTAGTAATTGTTCTTTTTTTCCTTTTGGGTATTCAGAATGTAGGGAACACTGGGAGAAGGAAAGGAGCAGATAAATAAAATAATGGAACACAAAGTGAGCAAAATGCAATAATTACAGGGTATCTAGTACATTGCACAGTAAACAATGTGTTCCTTCTGCCATCAGGAACCTCATGTTTTATTGACATATCAGATAAGTAGCCGTCACTCATCCAATGGCCAGGGTGTACAGCACCAGCTTGTGGTGAGGTTCTGCTTTGGGAGAGCCCCAGAAAATCATAGCATCCCTGTGATCCCTCCTATTCTAGATATAGTCCAGCCCTTCAGTCTGGAAGAGCACCAGTTAGGTAGGGGACCTACCTAATTCTCATTTCCTAAAAAGAGCCAAACCCTCCCGGTTTTGCTAGAGGCTTATCTACTAGTCTCAGGCTCCGGTCAACAGAATTAGCCCATAGAACTAGCATGGCCACCTAGCTCCATAAAAAGTCCCAAATGGCACTCTAGACATGGGCAGGGGAATTCTGCACACCAGTGACACCTTCATAAACAATGCTTTTCCATGCTTCCACTGATACAAAAGAAGGATGATGGCTAGGAAAGAAGGGACCCAGCAAACTCAGCGACCGGTTCTTTATAGCTTTTGTTTACAGTCCTATTTATTTATGTTGCAAATAAATTATCTGAATGTGGTGGGGGAGTCAAAGGATGGCTTGTCCTGGTGGACTGGGCTCTGTTCTGTCTCTTTCTCTACTGTATTCAGGTGGAATGTTGACCCTTAGATGATAGATGAGGGAATATTATGGGAGGAGGAAAAGTTACAGGCTTGGCATTTTGCTTTATCCATTTAGGAGTAGGTATTTTTCCAAAATAAAATCTGGAGGAACAAAACATTTTTATGGGCCCTGGGTGATGTGTCTGGGGAGCATGGGGCATTCCCAGGCACTGTGTTAGAGACCCCAGATGTCATGTTTAGGCTAGCCCAGCTGTTACGACTCTTTAGTGTGTCAGTAGGAGCAGCTTTGGTGTCTGATCTGGTAGGCATTTGAGTTGCCAAATTGAGCAAGCAAATGATGATGCCAGTTGTCCCACCCTGGATTCAGGTATTGAAGGGCTGTCATGCAGAAGGTGGAGCAGACTTTATTATTGATTGTATTTATATCCCACCTATTTTTCTTCCGCAGGAGCCAAGGCAGCTCCCCTCCTCCTCCTGCTCCCAGTCTTATCCTCACAACAACTGCACCGTGATGCAGGCTGGGCTAAGGGTGTGTGACTGGCCCGAAGTCACCCAGTGAGCTCCATGGCTGAATCGGGGCCAGAACCTGGATCTCCCAAGGCCCAGTCCTGCTCTCTTAACCACTACTCCATGCTGACTCTGCGGGAACTGACTTGTCCCCTGTTGCTGCAGAGGGCAGGACTGGAGTCAGTGGGTGGAAAGCGCAGGGCAGTGATTGTGTTATTGTGATTATTGTGTCTGAATAGATGTGCCATAAATGTCATAGACTGTATGGGTGAAATTCAAGTCTTTAAAAAATGTAATATTTCAGGCTATTTGAAATCTACACATATAATTCAGGTTTTGAGACAGAATTGGCTACCCTAAAGTTCTGGGTTAATAGCCTCATTTTCTCATTGCTTTGCTGTATTTATGGAACACAGTTTTCAGATGAACACATTCGTGTTGATTATGATAGCTCAACTCTTCCATTTCCGCTTCTCCTCCTTTCTCCATAATCAGAACCTGGTCATTGCGAATGGAGGCCTGGGAAATGGCGTAAGTAGATGCCAGTTGCGCAGTGTGGTAGAGGAAAGTGGACTGGTGGAAGCTCTTTTGATGCCGCCAAAGAAACCCTATGCCTTTGTGAAATACACAACAGCAGAAGATTCAAAGCGAGCCTATGATTCCCTCAATGGAAAAGAGATCCTGATGGAGGGCTCCAGTCAAAACGTCGTTCTCTATTTCAACTTTGTGGAAAAAGGTATTACAGTTGTGAAGCTTACTATTACTGTTATAATTGTAGTTGAGCAAACAGCCAGTCTGGTGCTCTGCAGCTGTTTTCCTTCCTGATCCATGTCCATGGAAGCCAGAACATTCTTCATTTATTTGAAGAGAAAGTAGGCATGATAGAGCCAAAATGAAACAATCTTGATTCCAAATAATTTCCATGAGATTTACAGATAGTAGTTCTTCTGTTGTACTCAGTTGGTTTGTAATTGCTCGATCCTATACATGTTTGTTTAGAAGTACATCCCACTGCATTCAGTTAGTCTCACTTCCTAGTAAGCTTATTTAGCCCAAGGTGCTTAACTTTGGCTGGATTTCACTCTTGGATTAAGCCAATAGGTTACAAAACATAAACCCATGTTTTAGGCTATTGAATTCTGTGCTGTTGATGTGTGCATGGAGCCATGCAGGTTTGCACTAACGAACCATGGTTCGTTAACCATGAATAATCCAGAAAGATAATTCATGATTTGTTACTGGGTTGTGAATCCATGGGTTGTCCATGGTTTGTTTCACAGGCTATTGAAGCATCAGGCAAGAATAGTAACACCCTTTCCACACTGCCCAGCCTCTCTGTGTGGCAGTACTGCAGTGCCAGAAAAACATTTACACACCCCCTGCTGCAATTAATTGGGATAATTGGGCCTTCTCTCACCTTCCCTCTTTTTCTCCCATGGCAGCTTTTCGTAGCTGTAGAATTGAGGGAGACATTCTTAATATCCATGGCATGGTGGCTGGTATTTTGACTTTCTGCTTGGGATGAACATGCTTGTGCCCAAGTACTTTAGTGCTCCAGGAGGGCCATCCATCATGTTTGGAAGCCTGTGACTAGAGGTGGATGAGCGCTTGTTTGGTTTGCTTGTTCTCCCTTGCTTGATATCTCTGCACAGGTGGTTTTATTTCTTTTCAATTATTCCTAAACCTAAACTGAATTTCCTTGGCTGGACCAGGCCCCCAGGGGCTAATCAGGCTTATAAACAAATATTTGTTTGGTCTTCTGTGATGGGTAAAAACATCCTGAAATGATCATGCAGAAGTCTTTTTGCAAAGTGGAAGGCCCCTGATTCTGCTGCTGCTTCTTCTTTGATTTTCAGGCCATTCTGTGCCACAGTACTGACATTATTAATAATACTTACACACCTAAGTGGATTACATGGAACTGCATTAAAGTCATAGATATATTTTTTTGAGTAGAAGGTCTAAATTTGAGTATTTTGCCTGCTGTATTGTTACAAATTGCTGTTGAAACACCCCTGATTTAAGAGAGAACTATTTGAACAAAAACAATCTTGGGCTTAGAAAACTAGTTTTTCAGTTCTTTGGATCCTGGGTGTAGTTGCTGGACATGTCTTCTTTCTTGGTTATGTCTATTGTCAGCTAGAAATAACTGACAAGCCTCATGAGTCCTGAGAAGAGACAGTTGAATGCAGGTTGCCATCTCACCTGGAGCGGCTGGGGAAAAGGTTGACCTTTGCTTTGACAGAGTAGTCAGGTCTTTGAAGTTGAAAGTGGTGAGATTGTCTAGTCCTGAAAAGAAGGGGGGGTTGTATAGCACAGCATGTGGGGACCAGTCCCGTGGTGCATGACCAGAGATCATTACCATCCCAGTCAAGAGTCACTTTTGGCCTTATCACTTAATTTACCAATGCTTCTTCCAGAGGATGCTTTGCAAGATCTTTTTATTTAGGGAAGTGCTTGGGAGCAAGAGCTGAGTAGGGGATTCCTTTTTATGGGGCTTTTCTTACTGAGCAATCCAAATTTTATAGGACCATAGCTTGGTGCACCTTGTAACCTTGAGGGAAAAGAAAGTCCTAGTGGGGATTTATTTCCTCCTAACTCTCAGCCAAAGCAGCAAGTTCCACCTTGAGTGTTCTTCTGAGGTCACTGCTGTGACATTGGAAGAGGATCAGGAGGGAAGGAAAGGGGCAGGATAGTGGAAGAGAATAGGGGAGTCTTGCTGGATCCATAAGACTCTCACTCATTCCTGTCCACAGCAAGGTAAGTCAGCTAGACAGGCTGAGAGGCCTTTTCTACCTGAAAATGTTTCTTTGTGGTGGCATAAGAAGCATTTTTGTAACATGCTCTTGTCTGAGGGGCTTTGGATCAATGGAGGGCTGTGGGTGTAGGCATAACACTGGATGATGGTTTAGCACTATGGGAAGTCTCTTGCATGGTTTATGTCATTCTGTCTCCTTCTGTGGCTTGGAGGAGGTTAGAAGATTCCCTTGCTGTTCTAGATTAGCCACACTTTAGTGTATCTTCCTAACCCTTGGTCAATACTATCTAGTGGAAACAGGCTTACAAGCTGTAGTTCAAAGTGGTTTGTTTCCATTAACAAAAGTTAAGAGTAAGTGCATTTTGGCCCAGTTTGGATGATCCCTTAATCTGTGGCTAATCCAAGATGGAAAGGAAGGGTTTCAGATTCATTCTTATGGCTATGCTGCAGGAATATTGGGGAGCACATGAATCAGGTGAGAAGCTGGGACCATTCTTGAAATGCTAAAGTTTGGCACTGAATCTGACCCAGTCCTGTACTGAAGTGTTGTATCCTATTAGTGGTGCTGCCTACTGAGAGCCATTGAGCAATTAAAAGAAATATGAACATCCAGCTTGCTTTCTTGAGAACTGTGAGTCCAATCCATTTGTTACTGCTGGAAAGAAGGTAAGCATTTCATTTTCATGGCACGATCTCCATATTTTTATGTTCCTAGTTCCTTGGGAAGATGTGACACCTGTAACCTTACCTCCTGGCCTGATGGTAGTTGAAGAGCTGGTTTCGCCTGAGGAAGAAAAACAGCTTTTGGACAGTATTGATTGGGAAGAGGATGAGGTCATTTCTAATGGTAAGTGATGTCTACAGTAAGCCAGGCTTTCTAAAAATACCTCTCACTGGACTTATTTTCTGTAACTCTGTAAAATTGTCCTTTGTTAACTCCTTGTGGGACTTTTTACTGGGGGCAGGAAGAGTGGATGTTTCTTGTAAATGCCCCCTCCTGTTCAAAGCTCTGCTTTCATTGTAAGCAGAACTTTTGAAAAGAAAGGTTAGCCAGAATGGCAAGTCACAGTCTCTGTGGGATGATGATGGATGATCAAGGCCCAGCAGAATCTTCCCCTTAGTGGTCAGCATCAACCAAAATGAATTGTGTGAATTGTTTTTAAAAGCTGCAAGGCTGGAGCTGGGGGTCAGACCAGATGGCCCAGGAGGCTCCTTCTGACTCACTCTGTTTCTTTATTTCTATGGTGGCTTCCTGATGGTCAGAGGAAGCTTTGGCGTTTGGGCCTTCAACTGGGGTGCCCAAGTTCAACTGGGTTTTGTAGCAAATCCCCAAATCACGGTCACCTGTTGCCTTCCCTTTGACCCTCTGGGAACCGCCTGGCTGAGCATATCTTGTCAGAGTGGTGGCCAATTCTGCCTCTGCGCAGACACTTGGCTGAAGCCGTAATGTTTGCCTAGAGCTTTCAAGTGTTCAGAGTGTTTCATGTCTAGCGGTAAAGCAGCTCACTAACATAGACTGGTATCATCCTTTTCCAGATTGCACTTGGGTGGACAGAGGCTGAGAGGCGGTACTTTTGCCTAAACTTAGCTGGTGAGCTCTTAACAGCCAGCCAGCGTGACATAGTGATTAAAAACTTAAAGTGGGACTTGAGAGAGATCTGGATTCTAGTCCCTGCCTTGGCCATGAAGCTTTCTAGGTATCCTTGGGTTGGTCACTGACTTTCAGGCTCACCAACCTTACAGGGTTGTTGTGAAGATAAAATGGAGAGGAGGAAGATTCCTTGCAAGAGGGAAAAAGACTGGATACAACTATAATAAATAAATGATGGCTGCAGAGAGATTTGAATCCGGGACATGCCTATTGTTAGTTCAGCTGCTATACTACTCTAGCTCACGATATATGTGGTTGTGATTTATTTATAAATATTTTTTTAAATATTGTTTTGCTTCCTTTCCACTTCACAGCTCAGAAGTCTTTAAAACACAGGAGGGTCAAACACTTTGGATATGAGTTTCGGTATGATAACAACAACGTTGATCGAGACAAACCATTACCTGGAGGTAAGTATCTAAGCCGAGTGTCCCTTATCTGTGTAGTGCTGAATTTTAAAAGAGCAGGTTCTTTCGTTATTTACAGTGTCCTATTGAAATGATTGGAATTTGCTTCTGAGTCAACATGAAAATGGGATTTTTCTTTAATAGGGCAATCTGAAGCATGCTTAATCAGAAGTGAGTCCCATGGAGAGTTCCATGGGGCTTACTCTCCAGCAAGTGGACTGACCAGTGCAGTCTAGCTGTGATGAAGCGGCTGGAGCAGCTCTCCTGTGAGGAAAGGTTGTTATATTGCAATAATATCCCACCTTTTCTTCCCTCTTGTGAGGGACCCAGTCAGCATCCATAGCTCCATTTTATCCTGGCAGCAGCAACTGTGTAAGGTAGGTTGCGCTGAGAGTCTGTGACTGGCTCTCAAAGTTATCCAGTGAGCTTCATGGCGGAGTGAAGACTAAAACCCAATTTTCTGAAGTTCCAGTCCAGCACCCTAACCACCACACTGCACTGACTCTCAACATGTTCACATTTCCATTTTGGGTTTTATGCTTTGATAAACAACAGGCAAGGAAAGATAGGGTAGGACTTCTTAACATTGTGCATGGTGTGGATAAAGAAGAGAGGGAAATGTTTTCCTCCCTTTCATGTGATACTAGAATTTGAGTCATCCAGTGACGTTGACTGGTAGGCTATTCAGGCCGACTCAGCACATCATCAGCAGTGTAATTTGTTATCACAAGACGTAATGAGAACCACTCACATGGGCAGCTTTAAAGATAAACGGAAGATCGAACTATTGATGGCTATTTTCATGGCAGTTATACATCATGTGTTCAGATATTCATTGCTGAACAGCACAAACAAGTAAATTCTAGTGTCCTCATGTCCATGGGAAACATGTAGGACAGCCATCTGGGTATGTAGGAACACAGGTCATTGCCTCATCTGGAAGGCACCCTGTACTAAGCTGGTAGTGACTTGGCTGCCTCTCTAGATAGTGACACCATTTTGTTACCTTCAGAAAAAGGTGGGGGCACTGTGCTAAAGTGGAGTAGTTACTGTGCTTTAGCAGATTTGCGCAAATTTCCTCATGCTGTTTTTCAAAGATTACGTATTTGCAAATCTCCCTCAAAGTGAAAAAAGGTACAAAAATTCTCTGCTCTGTTAGCAAGCGCAAATGTGCTAATTAATGGTGTAGGCTGCTGAGGCTGTGTTGCAAAGATTCATGGGATACATACCAGGGTGGGCACATGGACTAAGGAGGGACAAGCTATGGGGGAGTACAGAGCACCTGAGCAGCTGCCAGGAGTAACATGGGCCAATCCGCAAACAACCAGCACTTTGTACCTTATAATCAGGATGGCCTTCCTGTGAAGTGGAGGCTGAGCCATTGAGTCAGACCATCGGTCCATATATTCCCTTAGTGACATTCGCTGGTAGTGGCTTTCCAGGGGTTTTAGGCAGGAGTTTTTCAGGCCTTCCTGGAGTGCTTGGGATCGAAGCTGGAGCTTCCACCATACAGTGCAGGGGCTCGACCGACTCGGTCGTGGCTCTTCCCATCTGGTTGGTCCCTGTGGATGCCCTTCATATGAGCCACGCTGGCTGTCCTTCTATTCTTAGGCGTTTGAGCAAACTTCTTTCTAACATAGAAGGGGAGGCTCCAGAAAGTCTTTGAAGATGACTGTCTTTGTTATGTCAGGAAGCTCTGACATGAGTGTGAAAAGTGTGAACCCTGAGAAAGATATTAGGATTTTTGAAAGACAGGAGTATCGTATTCACATCTGACTCACCCCACATGACAGCTCTGATTTTAAATGCCAGCCAGGGAAGAGTAAAGTTGGAGGCAGTTCTTAAAGCATGTTTCCTCACATCCTATTAGGAGTCTGAAATTTTGCTCACAGCGACTAGGTAGGTGTGTGAAGCCTGATTATATGCACATTAAAGCAGTACAGTAGACTTCTTCCCTGCACCCCTTCCCAGTGCACAGTAGAATTTGCTTGCCCCAGCCCAGAAGCGCAGTCTGATAGTTTTAAGATCATTAATTTGGCAAGGGAGCAACACAGTATTGTGTTCCCTACTGGTCTGCTAGTGTTCAAACACATGCTGCACCCAAGGAAAAAGCTCAAAGCGGAACTCATGCTCGTAAAGATGCAGAGATCAGTTAATTGTAGTTAGCTTGTCTGAAGTAGCTTTCAGCTCTGTGTGCATGTAGTTAGCATGCTTAAGATACAGGGGTGCAAGTCAGTAACGTGAAAGAGACCCTTGTGAAGACAACCCTCGGCAGCTTGTTACTGTCTGGATGTTTTGGCCTACAAGTTGCTTATACTTGTTATAATGGGTAACATTTTGGACTTGTAACTATTAGGCTGCATTAGTTGAAGTATCACTTCTAAATCCCATGAAGTACTAGTTCCCCTCTACTCAGTACTGGTTAGGCCTCATCTGGAGTACTGTTTCCAGATAAGGGGTAGATAAGCTGGAAGGGGTTCAGAAAAGGGCAACAAGGATAATCCAGGGACTGGAAACAAACCTCTCTGAGGAGAGTTTGAAAGAACTGGGCATGTTCAGCCTCGAGAAGAGAAGACTGATGGGAGATATGATAACAAGAGCTTCAAGAACTTGAAAATCATCACACAGAGGAAGGCAGAGATCTCTTCTCATTCATCCCAGAATGCAGGACATTCTGGGATGTCCTGGCTCAGATTACAGGAACCCAGGTTCTGGCTAGATAGCAGGAAAAAAAATCCTGACTGTTAAAAGCAGCATGACATTGGACAATTACCTAGGGAGGTTGTGGGCTCTCCCACCCTAGAGGCATTCAAGATGAAACTGGACAGCCATCTGAGAGGGATGGTTTAACTTAGAGTCCTGAACTGAGCAGGGGGTCGGACCTGATGGCCCCCTGGCCCCTTCCAACTCTACTATTCTAGGACTTTATGAACTCATATAGCAGTTATGTGGAAGATGCATCTCTAGTATATTATCCGCATTTATTCAACACCAATCTGCTCAATTCATAGCCCACCATTCTTCCAGGGGCTCAAGGGAGCAAACCTGCCATCTCCCCTCAACCCAGAATTTTAGTTTTTTGAGTCAGGTTATGTTTGAGTCAGCCTGTCAAAACCCAATGTGAGGCGTTTGGGGAATTGAACCTGGATGTCCCCGGTCCTAATATGACACTAAGATCCTGCCTTCTTGACTATGCCCCCTGAGGATGTGCTGGACAACAGCTCCATAAATCCTAACTAGCATGGTCTCAAGTTGGGCAAAGCTGAATAAATGCTCTGCCATGCTGGTGAAATAAAACATACTGGAGAGTAATTAACATGGCCTAAGTGTTACTTTTGATGGTACATTCCTTATGAAGATGCTCTTTTTAAACTTTGCAGCTTTGCTGTTTTTGTTTATTTGTTATGGAGAAATTCTGATGTGTGGGAAGCAATTGGAAAATCTTTCACTTGACTCTTTCACTTATAATATCAGGTCTCCCAGATATCTGTAATCCACTCCTTGAAAAATGCCTGAAGATGGGATACATTAAAGAGAAACCTGATCAACTGACTATAAATCAGTATGAACCTGGACAGGGTATGTGGCGGCACTCTGATAACATCCTTCCTTGATCCGTCAGGCTCCATCCTTTTGGAGCCAGGCAATGCAGTGCTGTGGTTCCAATTTAAGAAAGAGCTCTTAGTCAATTTAGAGATGAGGCTTCAGGGGGCTGGTAGTTCCTTACATACGCAGAGCAAGCCCACACTTTTCTGGTTGAAATTGAAACTTCTAGCATTTCAACTTGTTAGGGACATACGAAGTTTCTGTGTGAACCAAGTCTCTGGGTCCATCAGACTCAGTCAACATGGAATTGAACTTGGGCCCATGTGCATACAAAGCATGTAGTTTGTCATTAAGCTGCATGTTCTTAATGTTCTTAATGTGTTTCTTTTGTCCCTACAAACTTTGGTCAATGAGAAGAGGAAGGAGATATGTGCAGTATCATTAGAGATTGTAGGAAAGAAGAATCACAGGACTGCTGCTAAATCCACCCTTGCCATAAAGGATGGATTTCCCATCAACCCACTTTTTTTTTTAGGATTGCATTTAAATTATGTTGGGGTGGGGGTGGGGGTTGCATGTTGATAAAATCGTCTTAGGAGCTTCACTCCTCTTTGTTACTCCAGTGAAGTTTTGTTAGGAGGGTTAATGAGAATGGTGGAAGTTTCTAATAGTAGACAAAAGTTGAAACACGTATTTCAGTTGTTCTTTTCTCATTGGTCATTTAATTTTACATTGTAGGAATTCCTCCTCACATCGATACTCATTCTGCTTTTGAGGATGAAATAATATGTCTAAGCTTAGGAGCCAAGGTAATGCATACAATTTTTTTTCTTGATCTTTCTGAGTTCAGCAGAGCTGCATTTTCACAGGATATATTCATTGTGCATCTGACATTTGGGTATGTTTCCTTGCAAATGCTGCAGTTAGTTGCTTGCTTGCTGAACAACCCAAGTTACATCTAACAACTTACTGCAGGTTGTTCTCTGATTCCTTCTCCCTCCAGCCAGTTCTTGCATGTACTTTCCCTGCTCTATGTGGCAGAACCTGTCTTGTCACCCAATTCTGATACCATTTTAGATCGCTGATTTTTTTTTTTTACATTTTGTGTAGCCTAAAAAAACACAATTGGGATCATTTTTTATTTTCAGTCTTTTCAGCTCCTGAAAACTGTGTAACTGTATTTATCATTCTGTTCATTATTATTGTCACTCTTTGCAAGCACACTCTTATAGCTGCCTGAAATGTGCCCATAGTCTTTCCTCATCATTTCCCTTGTCTGTTCAGTTGTCAAAGGGAGCAGGCAATAGATTGACAGTAGAAGTCTAATTAGCCTATAGGCCGATTTTTGCACAGTTGCCAGGGTTGATTGCCACCTTGTCCTTTGAAAAGCACTGGTACAGAGGTGACAGAAGAACAAAATATCGCTCCCTTAGTAATGGCATCTTCCTAGTTTGAAGGGTTGGACTGACAGTTCTCAGTACCCTTTCAACATTTCCTTGTGGTGGAAGCTTTTCTGAAATGAGTAAATGGCTTGAAATATTTCCACAGATTTGGTGCTGCAAACTGTGTATCTCTCGTGCAGTTTGTGCAAATTGCGGGCAGTTCGTTAGATTTCTGTTATTTATTTATTTATTTATTTATTTAAACATTTTTATGCTGCCCCATTCGCTGAAGCCTCGGGGCGGCTTACAACATAGATAAAACAATAAGTTAAAATATCCATATAAAATAATCTTAATGAAAACACACATTATAAAATAAGCCACCCTGGCCAGATAAAATTCAATTGTATTTAGCATTTAAAATGTTGCTTAAGTAAAAAGGTCTTAGCCTGGTGCCGAAAAACAAATAACGACGGCGCCAGGCGGACCTCTCTGGGGAGTGCATTCCATAACTTAGGCGCCACCGCTGAGAAAGCCCTTCTCCGAGTAGCCACCCTCCTAATTTCTCTCACGGAGGGCTCCCGGAGAAGGGCCTCTCCCGCCGATCTCAGGGGGCGACTGGGCAAATATGGATGTAAGCGCTCCTTCAGGTAACCAGGACCCAAGCCGTTTAGGGCTTTATAGGTCATTACCAACACCTTGAATTGGGCCCGGACTTCAATGGGGAGCCAGTGAAGCTGACGGAGAACTGGAGTCATGTGAACATAACGTCCAGTCCCCGTCAGCAGCCTGGCAGCTCTATTCTGAACCAATTGAAGTATCCGGACCGTCTTCAAGGGTTACTGATCTTGCTGTCGTTCCAACCTGAGTCTTGGGCATGTGTTCCCTTCTCCTCCTCCTCCAGAATGCCTGCGAGAAGGAAGTTGAAATCTTCCACTTCTGGTTTTAAGCTAACCACTGTTGGTCATTATATCCAGACCAGGCCAAACTGTGGTTACTTTAAAATACAGCTTGTACTGCTGCCTTTACTTGCTTTGTCTAAGAAGCTAGTCCCTGTGCTGTGTCCTGATTTCCTAGAGTCACATTCAAGGCTGCAAAAGCTATATGCTGTGGTGGTATTGCTCTGTTCTGACCCTGATAGTTTCTGACATTTGCTGATGGCTCCTTTCAGAGAAAGAAGGAAAAAATCTGCTGGCCTTAAATATAAGTTGCTCACAGGAGGAAGAAAGGTTTTTCCGTCTTTCCTCTTCACCTGGGGCCATCCTAACTTCACTTGTTGAATTTTTAATACAAGATGAAAAATGCTTAAAAGTAACTGTGCTACCAGCAAAATTCCTGCAGAGCTGGACCTGAGAAGCCTCAGGTCGTAACATAAGGTAGAGGTTACATTATCCAGTGGCTTCACTTTTCAAACCAGAAACCCTTGGATGTTTTTTATCTTCTTTTGTCAATTATGAAGGCTGATCCTGGTGTACAGGAGACAACGGCAGAAGTGAAGGGCTGATGGGAGAGAGGGAAGCACATGTGTTTCTAAGATTAGGTTGTTAGTACCTTGCAGCCAAGGTTTTTAAAGCAGATTAGTCCAAATGGGGTCATCTGTCCATTGATTAAATAACTTCTAGCTGATGGAATCTGTTATAAGTTTAAATAAGATTGCATTTTATTCAAACTGTAATTGATATAAGTTAAGCAGAGAAATCTTCCCTTTACAAGGTCAGGCTATTTTTTGAGCATCACCTGGTCTTTTTTTAGCTGCAGATACCAGGGAGTGAAGCTGGCATCTTCTGCATGCAAAACAGCTCCTCTGCCACACAGTACCGTTTGAGACATTGGACAAACTGGAGTTCAATGGAACCAAGAGGCTTATTTTATCAGTGCCATGGGAAGCCATCCAGCCTTTCTTGAGCTTTCCCTTACCTAGTCAGCTAAAGCATTACATTGAGTGTGGACGACCTCAGGAGGTCGAGGTGGCATTTCTGCATTACTCCCCCACCCCTCACACAGCTGGTGAAATTCCTGCAGCAGGGATATGAAATCACAGTTGGTGCTGATTTTCATGGACAAACCACTATGGAACACTAGGTTAGTCGAGTTAAAATGGGCCATTGTAGTGTCATTGAAAGCTGCAAAATTATTTTTGTTGCTGTAAATATTGGTGAGGTGGTGAAAATGGGGCTGCAGGGAAATGGGTGCCTGCCATTGCTTTACAATATCCTAAACAGCCTTCCCCAACCTGGTGTCATCCAGATGTTTTGGATGACAACTTGCATTGTTCATGGCCATTTACCATGTGGGCTGATGGAGGTCTAAAACACCCGGAGGGCACCAGGTGTTGTAAAACTTTACAGTGTTGTAAAACTTTACAGAATAATCGTATGCAAGTTCAATTATCTCATTCCCAGGTAAGTTTGTGTGGGGTCATAGCCATAGATGATTTACCAATTAAACAGATCAAAACTTCCAGTCCTGTTTCAAGGCACTGTTTATTTTGCATCATTTAGACAAATATTAAGAAGCAAGCTGTTGCAAACAGAGGTGAGGGTAGTAGGTCCCAGCTCATGAAGGGAAAATACACCTTGGGGGGAAATGGCAAAGATGCACTCCATGGTTGACTCAAGGAAGACAGGATACATTCCTGTTTATTGCTGGGTTATGCTTGCAAATCCCATCAAGTGCCTGGCAGTAAAATACAAATGGGTTTGATGGCTCTTAGGATGTGGCCAGCATTCATATCCTTTGCTCAGAGAGCACCTGTGAGGCATGAAATGCATTAGCAAGATGCCCTACAGCTCCTATTCTTCTGTGGCTTTGATGGCATTTTGAAACGAAATGTGAAAAAGCAGCCATAACTGCCCACTTATGGGCCAGTAATCTCCTGATAGGTCAGTTGCTGCTTTGGTTGCCTTTGCCTCTGGCAGTGTACTTATTCCAGATTACTCTTTAATATAGTTTGCACATTGGCACTTTCATTGTAAACATCCAGCTTAGAGCACTAATGTGATCATAAAGAGCTTTGCAAATTAAAAAGCAGAGTAAATGATTAGGAGTAGTAAGAATATTAAATTAAATTAGGAGCAGTTTTCCAACTGGTGAGCTAGATGATATCATCTCCATTGAGTGCTATAATTTTTGTTTGTTTGCTTGTAGAAATATATTCACTCTTGATTATTTCTCTGCACTGTGTCCAATATATGAAAATTGTACCTGTCTATGGCATGTTGTCAGTATACAAGGTGAACTGCCCCATTCCATTCCTCTTCTTTTCCCACCTTTCCCTGTTTCCCCACCACTCTCAGGTGGGGAATTTCAGGAGTTCCAGGAGTGCTGAGCATACTCAGTCCTCATTGGATTGTTTTGGCAACTATATTCCTCTCTCCGGCTTGCTTTTTCCTCCTAAAGTTGTTTGTACTTCTGAAAATCTTAGCTTTCCTCTAGCTTGCAGACACCTTCCTTTAATGCCTTGGTGCTGTTGTTTTGGCTATATAACAATTTATTTATTAATCAAAACATTTCTATGCTGCCCCATTTGCCGAAGCCTCGGGGCAGCTCACAACATAATGGCACTCATCCTGACTATCAGAAACAATCAAACTTTTTTATTTATTTAATTTATATGCCAGCCAATAGCCAAAGTGCCCTAGTGGGGTGTAATCCTATCAAATATACCATCAATGATCAGAAACCCGCTGAAATCAGAGGCATCTGTTCATCCAGTGCAGACTGGGAAGAGCCAAGGTAGCAGTTTTGCTTTTCTGTCCTCCTGCCCTGCAAATTTCACTGTAATTGAAATTACATTTATACCACCTGTCTTGTAGGGCACCTACAGTGGCTTACAAGGATCTCGACTTCTCCATTTTATCCAAACAAAAACAACCCTGTGAGGGAGGGCAAGTCACCCAGTAAGCTTCATGGCTTAGTGAGGAATAGAACCCAGATCCGTACTTGCCAGTGGCTTTACATCTAGCAAGTGTTCATCAGAAGGGGAGTAGGCTTGGGACAACACATATTCTGGCCTTTCTGGTCTCCTTCCTTCGCATCCATAAAAATCTTCCTTTCTTTCTCCTCCACCATCCCTTTCATGACCTTGGGGGACAGTATGCTTCCTTCCTTGCTGGCTATGAAGGGGTGGATGAGGTAGTTTGGATCCCTGACTCCCTTTGCCAAGGTTGGGGACAGCCCTCTAACCTCAGATGGGGGGATATGAATTCTATGGCCCCTGCGTTGTTCACCAAAGGACTATAGGGTTGCTCTTTTAAGTAATGTTTTAGAATTGCATGCTGTCCCATTGGTGAATATCCTCCAGGCAGTTTGTAATAATAAAAGGTCAAAAAACTGCAAAATAAATGATATATGCACAATATATGCAAGTATGAAAACATCCATTTAATCTAATATGAAACATTAGAATAGTAAAAAAAAAGAGTAGC